TTGGGAAGTCTTAAAGAACTCTTAAAGAAATATACTGATGACTTTACTCTTTGGTTATACTTTCCTTTTGGGTGTTTGAGACCATACAATTGGCCCAAATAAATCAATTTATTTTTACACTTAAGGTCATTTGAGGATCTGTTCCTCCGGGGTCACATGGATTTGTGAGGAGCTCCTGGCTCCTTTATTTTACCAGTTCCATCTATGTGAAGCTAAGTCAAAGGTCCTGCTCAATCATGTCTGGCTTCATTTGGAAGCATGAATGAGATACTTCCTCTGAGTTGACCTTCCTCTTTGTAGACTGGGCACTGGTTCAAGTCCATTTCATGGGGTCTCCATGTCCTCCCTGAAGAGGACAGGTGACCCACCACAGTTACAGTACATTTTGAGAGATGTTCCATTGTTCCCTGGAACTTAGTCAACCTTAGAGGGCAAGGGCAAAAACTGTCCTTTAAGTCCCTCTGTCCACATTAGTATAGGCCTCAAAGGATGTCTGTTAAACATCCAATGAGGTTAATTCTACCAGTCTGGAACTTTTAATTGTCATGTGCTATGTAGATAAGTCTTGGGTAAAAAACCAAATATTCTCAAATAAACCTTGACTACATATATATTTTGTTCCTTAAACTAGTTGACTAAACTATGACCACAGAAATATTAAGATTATATGTATATTATTTTTGTATCATCCTTTGTATATAACAAACCTACACAGACCTTCATCACTTGCTTAGGCTTTCTCATTTTTTCTATTTTGGAAAACATCTCCATTCCCATATCCTTTTAACATCTTTTACATTCTCATTTTCTTTCTTTTTTTGTAATAATTTTTAGACATAATAGCATTAAGAAATTTTCCATCTGTTGTGAGATATGATTTCCTGTGGATACTAAGTAATGCTTATTCCCTTTTAAGGTTCTAGTGTCAAACCAATGTTTGAATAAGTTTTACTGGGGAACCAATGAATTTACTGACCTTCTTTACTGAGATAACTGAGGGGTTGCTGAGGTGTATGAATGACCTGAGGGTATGCACACTGGAAAGCCTTTACCCAGCATGGGTCATGCCTTCTCTTCCTTGCCTAAGCCTTCCTCAGACTGTATACTTTATTTAGCCCTCCCCAAATCCAGGAGACCATGTATGTTAAGGCCAAATTACATATAGTTGGCTGGGAAGAGTGGCTGGATACCCCAGTGAGGGTCCAATGACCCTGCTGGGCCCTCCTTTAATGAATGAGCACAACTGTCAACAAGCCCAGTTGTGACGATGTTTAGTGATCAGGCTCAGCTAAAGTGGTGATGATGGTAGTTATTTCATGCAGAAAGGACTGCTGTATAGCATCATCTTATTAAAAGGAAAAGGATGTGGTGCTAGGATCCACATATGCGGGAGAACATACGTCGTTTGTTTTTCTGAGTCTGTGGAGAGGACTTGGAGGGGAGGGAGTGGGCATGAGTTTGATCAAAACACCTTCTATGTATGTATGAAATTCTCAATAAATTATTTATTTTGAAGAAATAGGTCATCTTTATGTAAAATATTTTTGATACAGAGCATAGTTCAAGTTGACTCCATATTTTGATTTAACTTATAATACTGACCCAGAATGGAAACAAAATATAATTTCTTCTGTAAGTGACTTCTTGCCTATCTCTACAGCACAAACAATGGATTGTGAAACACACAGCCTCTGCTAGGTTGAGCTGTTTTCTACTTAGAATCAGAATGTATTTGCAGCATTTTGGTTGACAATTTAAACCCTGCCAATGAATCTGTCCAAGTTTTATAAGGTCAGGTTACCCCCTCAAAATCCCTACTCACTAACATAGGCTTCTTTAGGGTACTTATGATGGCATGTTGGCACCATGGATTGCAGGTTCAAGTGCCAGGTTTTGGAGTGGAAACTCAGATTGAATCTTATCTCAGTCACATCACAGATGCATGGCTTAGCTAATGAGCTCTCTTCTGGAGGGAATATCAATAGCCCTTTTTAGGTCTACCATAGGATTAACTGTCTTCATATGCCAACAAAACAACTACTATATAGTTATAAGCCAGTGCCTAGACTGAATAAATGCTACTAGTTTTATTAACAATAGCCTTATTTAAAAGTTTCCAGATGAGGAAGGTACAGGGAGGAGCTTGAGAATCCTTGCTCCACCCTGTCTCTTCTCTATGTCATTAAGCCTATTAATTTTGTTGACCCCATAGATCTGGAATATTCTCAAGCTCCACTAACTAACTAACTAACTAACTAACTAACTAACTAACTAACTATATATATATATATCACCATGTCACTGGCCTCTGACTCAGTTTCCCAAACCATCCTTCCTGAGTGCTCCATCTGTCTCTAAGTCCCAGTTTCCGTTAGGACCTCTGGTTACTTAGGACCTAGGGAGATAGCTCTGTTACTGCACTTGCCAACCAAGCATAAGACATGAGTTCTACTACCAGAACCCAAAAGAAAGAAACAGGTGTAACATACACACACACACAGTTATATTTAGAATAATGTCGCTTAACAATGGTCAAGGATCCTTTCAGGTAGAAAAACAAGACTAACAATTATAAGTTGGGAAGAAAAGTTGTGGACTGAGAAGGTAAACATTTCACTTTTTAGGAGACTATGAAATGGCATCATTCACACAACACTGTGCTCATGACTTCATCAAGTCATGAGGATCAATGGACAAAATAATGTCAAATTCTTTTGAACACTGTACCATTTAAAAGGAAACAAATTTGTTCCCATATTCATTAGGAGAAATCAATGTGATTAGTGATATTTACAGAAATGTTCCACTCCAAACTAACGAAGAGCCAAATGAACCTTCCTTCTTTTGATGCCTCTGCAGGGATCTTCGGAACTTAGTGATCGAAATGGTATTATCTACAGACATGTCAGGTCATTTCCAGCAAATTAAAAACATAAGAAGCAGTTTGCAGCAACCCGAAGGGTAGGCTATTTTCTTTTGTCTTGTTCAGGTTCTGTGGACTTGGATTTAAGAGGCTAACTGATTATGTTATTCTGGCGATTTGAGCACGTCTTTGGTTTTACAGGATTGATAGAGCCAAAACGATGTCCCTGATTCTCCATGCAGCCGACATCAGCCACCCGGCCAAAACCTGGAAGCTGCACTACAGGTGGACCATGGCCCTGATGGAGGAGTTTTTCCTACAGGTGCTTTATCCTCACTTGGTACAAATGGCTTTGGAAATAGTGACTGTGGATATTAACATACAAATTTTTTTCTCAGCAGAATTCAGATTTTCTGACTTAAATTTTCAATCAATCATAGCACACTCTTAAGGGACTTCAGAGAATTTAAGAATGTTTTAGATAAATATATAAAATAATGCTAAATAGCGTAAGATGACTTTAAAAGAGAGTGAAGTCTTGGATCTCAGATGTGACTGTCAAGAAAGAAAGAAATGGAAAAACATATTAGAATCGTGATGCTATTAAAAAGTAAGAACCAGAGTGGAGACAGCAAATGGCTTGCACAACAAAAAGAGCAGTGGAAGGATACACAGCACTTTGGTGCACATTCTTCTGGCCAGAATTTATCCCATACATAGCTGCAAAGGAACTCAGAAATAGATAGCCGAGGGGACACTTGCCTAACTAAAACAACAAATTGTTGTTAGGAAAGCGAGCCTGGAGATAGAGAACAGCCCTGTTCTCTGCTACAGGCACTCACCTTTGTTTCCTCTATTCGGTTTACTATCTCTGCATTCAAACTTGGGATACTATAATATAAGTGTGATCCTAACCACTAACATTAGCTTCAAATTCCACAGGTTAGATAAAGCATCAGACTTTCACAATATTGGCCTCACTTCAGATTCCCAAATGTAGCCATAAGACACCAGCACTTCTGACAAGCTAGTCACAAACTCAGTTCTTAGGGCCCATTCTACACTCAGTAATTTGTTAGCCCATAGAACTCAGGTCTAGTACTATACTACAATTATAATTTTGTCATATAGGATACAATCTAGTAATAGCCCAATGAATTACAAAAGTCTGGAAGCTCTAGACACAGAGTGTCTGTGTGGTCTCTTTTAGAGCATGTCACCTTCCTGGGTGACCAATATGAACCAGAAAGCTCCATGAACTTTGGTGTCCACAGTATTTTGAGTGTCATTACAGAGGTACAAGAAGATTTTAAGTGTCTTAAATTGAATTTTAAAATGAATGATCATGAAAGCCTGATAGTGAAATCTGACAGAGGCAACTAAAGCTGTGTTTAGAGAACATTTTATGGCATTGTGCTGGATAGCTTTAGTGTCAACTTGACACACCTCGGTTGAGGGAGCCTCAATTGGAGAATTGCCTTCATTGGACTGGCCTGTGGCCATGTCCATGGGGCACCTTCTTGATTGTTGAGCTATGTGGGAGGGCCCAGCCCAATGTGGATGGTGCCACCCCTGGGCAGGTGGGCCTGTGTTTTATAAGAAAGCAGGCTGAGCATGAGCCAGAGGAACAAGTCAGTAAGCAGTGATTCTCCATGGCCTGTGCTCCAGCTCCTGCCTCCAGGTTCCTGCCCTGAGTTTCTACCTTGGGCTCCCTGGGAGATGTAAAACAAATAAGCCCTTTCCTCCCAAAGTTGGTAGTGGTCAGAGTGTTTTGTCACAGCAATGGTGAGAGGAACTAGGACAGGCATTAAATGCTTTCTTTATTAGAGAAGAACAAAAGTTTAAAATCGATTATCTAGTTCTATCTTTAGAAGCTAGGCAAAATTTAAGAAAGTTAAACTAAAATAAATTGATAGAAGGAGGTGATAAATACAAAACAAAAATCAGTGAGATAGAGAAACAATAATCAAAATTAATAAAGACAAAAACTGGGTCCTGGAAAAGAAATGAAATTACTTGCAGAATCAAGAAGAGGAAAAAATAGACATTGAAAAGGGGATATTATTATTATAGTTCTTACATATGTCAAAAGGGTAAGAAGTATTATCAACAATTTATGTCAATAAAATTGGCAACCAAAATAAAATTGCCAAATTCTTTGAAAGTTATAAATGGCCAAACCAGACATAAGAAAAATTATAACCTGTACGTAACCCATAGAATCAATACCCATATCACCAAATGTCAGACGTAAAGATAGTAATATAAGAATTATTTCTAATAGCCCAGTGCTAGGAATACTTCAAATGTCTAACAAAAAATAGAAATGGAAAGCCTGGCATGGTGGTGTACACCTCCCAGCACTTGGGAGACAGAGGCAGGCAGATCTCTGTGTCCATTGTGAGGCCACCCTGATCTACATAGTAAGTTACAGGCCAGCTATGACTACAGGGAGACTCTGTCTCAAAAAAGAACAACAACAACAAAAAAATAGAAATGGATACATCATCTGTTGTGTAGTTTTATAATAAAATACAGTACAACAATACAAAGAGGATAATAAAAATAAGCAATAAATCTCAAAGGAATACATACTATAATTCCATTCCTTTAACATTTAAACACTAGCAAAGCAGTGACAGAAATGAGAATTGTAGACATGTGTACAGAGCAGGAGTCCCTGGCAGAGGTTACGGGAATGTTCGAGGGTAATAAAAACTCTCTATATTGACTGGGTGTTACACAGTAGGTTCATAATCATATGCTTCAGATTAGTACATTGATTTTCCCTCAATTTGAAAGAAAATGCTTATCATAATGAAGATACCTCATTAATGACTTATTTAAAACACAAACGTCAGTGTTAAAGTTTTCTGATAAAAGCGCTTATCCCTGAATAAGACACCTATATCAAGCCTGTGCTACCCCAGGCTTGGGACCCCTGAGGAAGAGAGGGCAGAAAGATTGTAAGAGCTGGGGGGTGGCGAGGATGACCACAAGAAAAGAGAGTTTTCCGAACAGCTTAGAAGTTACTCATGTGAACTTAGAGCAATGATCACAGCATGCCTAAGACCCATACAAGCTCGAGCCTGACAAAATCCCAGCATGGAAGAACAAACTATTGGCAACTGACAACTACTGGGAGAGGAGGAGTTGATTTTTTGAAAGGGTGTGATACTAGATAGGTTAACCAGGCTTCAGTGGATGAACACACACTGAAGAACATTTGGGGACCCAAACTTGATAGATATTAATATATATGACATAGTACATGAAATCTGATGAGGGTTCTATAAGAAGGGTACAGGTAATGGGGGATCTAAATATGAACAAAAAATGTTCTATGAAATATGCAAAAATTCAATTAAAAAAAGGAAAATAATTTCTGATAAATAAAACCAGGTGTGGTAGCATGCTGGGCCATGAGATTTGGGGGATTCTCCTGTCTCCATCTCCCACCTTCCTGTAGGAATACTGGCATTACAGACATGAGCTTTACATGTGTTCTCAGAATGCAAATTCAGGTCCTCACATTTGTGTCAAGCGTTTTCCTCACTGAGCCAGGCAGTCACCACTCTTCTTGAATATTTCAGAAAGGTAGCTAGTGATGAAACTGCTAGAAGGCAGTGAGTTTTGGCATCTGAGTTTGGGGATAGAGGAAAATTGATCCACAAGGCTACTTAGCTCCTCTGTCATCTCATTGCAGCAGATATCTGATTATTAGAGATTGCATCCCCAACCTAAAAGACTGCCTCTTGGAATGAGTATAGTGTCATGGTACTTAGGATGCTCTGTGATCTACATTTATTTGATTGTGCTTCTCAGAGTAAGGAGGTGTCAGGGTATTGGGTTTGTTTTGCTTTGAAAAAAAAGCAACAAGTCATTTGGATAGGCAGTTGTGAAACCCCAGAATGTTCAGAAATGAACAGTGTTTGAATGACCTTGTCACTTAAGGCAAAATACTTACGGGCCAAAAAGGAGTGAAGCATGGGTGTCCATGTGGACTACTAGAAAATCAAACTCACTCCTAACCCCCCTTGTCTCTTCCAAAATGATAATTTGGATTATGCAATCTTGTGTTGATCCCAATTGTTGGCATATCAATTATCACTCTGTGGGCTTTCAAAAAAGTGAATATCTTTAAAATCCCCTTAGAAACATATGCAGGAAAACCAGTGGTTAAAGATCACCGTAAGTGAGCATGTGCTTCATAAATACATTTCAAGTAAACCAAGTTTGTCTTCATGAATTCAAATAGGGTATTGATTCTCATAGGTAAAATGTTTTCTTTTTTGTAAATATTTTTACTGAATGTTGAGAATTTCATGCAATATATTTTGGTCATTCAGACCCTTCCCTATCTGCACCCCCCTACTACTCCTAGTAAGATGATTTTTATTGTTTTTTGTTTAATTTTTTTTTCATTCAGCTAAGTACATCCCATGAAGTGCCTAGGTACCCTTCCCCAAACCATAACTAAGCATCTTGGTGTATGTTTTTCTGTGAATGTGTGTGACATGTGCAGCTGAACTGGACTTGTATATCCATGCAGAAATCCCAGAAATCGCCAGGCCTGCAACAATTTGTATGTAGTTTTTCATTTTTCTAATCTTCAAATTAACCTCTATGAAACTAGATGTTTGTCAAACAACACTTCATCAAACCCCAGCATTTGTAGATACTCTTCTACTGTACCTCTAGTAAAAGCAAGAAGGGTTTTTCATTTCACACAGTAAAAACACGCTTTTATACACAATTTGCAGCCAGAGCTCTCCATTCTGTATGAATGTACTAAGGATTTAAATACTGGGTCATGTGACACACTGACTGTACTGGAGATTTTGAGACAAATCAAAGAAAGTCTTGTAGAAATTTTCATAGCCCTCCTTTGTAGTACACATACAGTTTGGACTTCTGGTTTACATTTGTTTTCTTCTGAAATTGCTGCTGGTGGTGATCAAACCCGGGGCCTACTGCATGCTAGCCAGCACTTTACCACTGAGCTATATCACCAACTCCTTTTTTTTAAAATTTCATTCTTACATTTATTTATTTATTGTACATGCATTTGGAGAGGCATGGGTGTGGCACATGTGCATATAGATGTCAGAAAACAACAACCAACAGCTGGTTCTTTCCTTCTGCCGTGTGGATTCCCGGGAACAGAACTCAAGTCATCAGGCTTGGTGGCAAGCACCTTTATCCACTGAACCATCTCATTGGAATCTTCTTCTTACTATTTTATGTAGATGGGTCAAACATAAGAAACGTAATATTGTAAAGTGAAGAAGTAATCGGACTTGATTTCAAAATCCCCAAATG